CATGCACATTATCATTTCCACTATTGTGATTACTTGTGTGCCTGCCTTAAATATGTGCTTGACTCTGCCTACTGTGTTAGTTTTGGTTGGAAAGGAGCAGCAAAATTTGGCTCTGGATTTGGGGATCATGTGCCTGAGGAAGATATTTTCCTGAATTTTGAAAAGCACTCTATTCTTTTCCTGAATTGCTTACCATCAGACTTGAGATTTTAAAGCCCTTTCTGGCATGGATCCAGGTTACTTGAGGAACCATCTCACCCCAATGGGACTTGCCTGCCCCATCCGCAGAAGGGGCATACTGCGGATTCTATCAGTCAAAGAATTTCTGCTGGTGACCCCCAGGAGAAGAAGAATCTGTGCCAATGGCTCCTGCCCTTTGGAATATTATTCCCTGAGGTGAGATCTGCTCCCATCCTTCTGACCTTCAGCAAAAGCCTTAAGACCTGGTTCTACCAGATGGCTTGTGGTCCCACTGGAAGAGCATCATACGGGAGGTGCAGAGGTGAAATCCATAAGGTTCTGACAGGTTCTGGAGAACTGGTAGCAAAAAATTTGAGTAGTTCAGAGAACCGGTAAATGCCACCTCTGGCTGGCCCCAGAGTGGGATGGGAATGGAGATTTTGCAGTATCCTTCCCCTGCCATGCCCACAAAGCCACACCACACCCACAAAACCACACTCATAGAACCAGTAGTAAAAATTCTTTTAATTTCACCACTGTGGAGGTGATTGATTAATTAAAAGCTAATCCCACAACCCACCTCCTGCCCCCGGATCCAGCTCACCCCTTTCCCATCCTGTGTCCATTATTTTACTTTGATGGTATTGTAATTTTATTGAGTTAGGAATATTTATTGTTAATTTTTTTTAAAATGATGTAAGCTACCCAGAATTGCTTCAATGTGAAATGGGCAGCAAATAAATTCAATCAATCAAATGAGGACAAAATAATAGTTTGGTTTGGGAATCTTAAGCCTTGCCAAGAAGAGTTACATTCCAGTGCACCATGGTTACTATTTAGAACCAGATTGCTTGCGGGGCGGGGGATCAGTGTGTTTGTGACATCAGCAATCATTATACCAATCGCAACCCTTGAATCAGAATTCTCTGTACTCTTACGGAATGGCACAAAGAAACCTGAGACAATGCCTGTTGATGTGACTATGTACTACTATTTACTCTCTTATCTCATACTGTGTTAGAGGAAGAGAAGAAGGGAAGAGTTAGAGGAAAGAAGACAAGAGGAAGGCAGGAGAAGGCATGAACTTTGGAGCAAACCATAGGTCAAAGGCAAGGAACCAAACTCAAAGGGATGAAGAAAAGGGAGTGAAGTGGAAAAACAACTGAAACAGAAAATACAGGGCTGGCTCATTTACTCAGATAGTTCAATTATAGTCATCATTCTTCATAATATTGGCATAACATTTATGCCAGTTACTCAGCCAAAAACAGGGAAGCACAGCATCTTCATTCCTTCGAGGTGATCAGAGATATAAAGGCTTCATTCACAAATCTCCCAAGTGCTGCTTAGCTTGTAGAAAATACAAGTAAAAGAGTTGGGTCTATTGACCACTGCACAAATTTAGAGCTAATTACTTCTGTTCATTATGCCAAGTTCACAGTTCTTGAACTATGAGCATTGTAGAAATGAACCAGTCTATTCCTATAATAAAGGTAGCATGGGAAGGATCTTTAGATCATGGCTGGGATTATTCACATAAGAAGCTTACACTTTTCTTTAGCTTGGGTATGTGTGTTGATATCCTCAGTGAACAATTATAAAACATCCAGGATTATCTTGTAAAAAGCTCTGTTACAATATCGGCAATGAATTTACTATGCTTACTTCATTTATTTGTTCTCTCAGTCATATGCATAGGCTGAATATTATGAATTAGCTCAGAGACCTATTTAGGATGTGTCAAATTTTTCAACTTTAAATTTCCAAACATTAGGGGTTGCTCAAAAGTTGTGACATGCCTTGGGGATTGTAATATTTTGGTTACTTTAATATAATTTAGATGTGCTTGGTAAGTAACTACCTAAATATCATAACTTTTTAACTTTTTGTTTGTTTCAGTATGTACAAATAAGTTATGATTTCAACTCCCATTTGAGGTCATGAATAAACTTTATTATCTATCCAGTGTTGATATGTAACTAGCTTCATAGCTAGATTTATTGAGGAGTTGTTTGTTAAAAGGGCATGGATAGTTAGAAACATACTTCTAGGCTAGATTATAATGCAAAGGGCACTACATAAATGGTAGTAACAATGTTGTTCATGAAGCACCTCTTGATAGTAAGTTTTGGTCAATTTTATTCTTGCAATTATGGACTGCTGAATTTTATTCCTTTACATATATATTTGTGCTAGGAGTAAGCAATAAGCATGGTGTTAAATAATATGTGAAACTCTTGTAATGATGACAAGATACATGATTCTCTTAAATAACATGTAAGTATACAAGGTAGGAATTTTATCTTTTTGGTTATCCATCGATTGGAACTTGAATTGACAGTTTTATGAGAAGAGAACTACAGTTTCAACTAATCTTGGTTCAAATTATTTTTAATTTATAATTAAATTATTTTATTTCTTAATTTATTTTCCTTTTGTATGATATCTTATGTGCTAAATATTAAATGGCATTTGGAGAAACAGAAACATCGGAAAGCAGTACTGTGCTATGCTCATTTAAAATATAGTCAGAACATCAGCTTTAGATAAAATTTAAGGTAGCATATTGGTGACTACTTTTGAAGGCATAGTTTGTAGGAAATGGAGATGAAGGATAACAAATTGGTTGTTCTCAGCGATCATGGGCTTTGGAAGCCATACTGGAGAAGGTAGACTCATAGGTAGGTCACAGAACTATGGAATGTAAGAGAGCAAAGTAAAAAGTATTTTATTAGCCTACAGAATTCTTGAGACATATCTTGTAATTCTGAAAAAACTCTTAATACTAAACAGGCTCTATCAGCCCACTGTCAGTCAGAAATAGATACTCCTAGATCAGTGGGTCTCAACCTTCCTAAGGTTGACCCTTTAATATATTCCTCATGTTGTGGTGACCCCCAACCATAAAATTATTTTATGTTTTCCGTATTTTTTTGAAAATATGTGTTTTCCAATGGTCTTAGGCAACCCCTGTGACAGGGTCGTGACCCACAGGTTGAGAACCAGTGTCCTAGATGAAATGGATGAATTAATCTGGAATAAGATACCTTCCTGTAGTCTAGATCTTTCCATTCTAGAAAAAAGCTTGTAAAAACAAAGGTCACACAAAGCAAGTGGGGGGAAACCTATCATGTTAGGTAGTACAGTATTGGAAATAACTGTTCACTCACAGTTTTCACCTTGAAATCAATCTAATTTTGAAGCAGCTTTCCAGAATTTCATGCTGGCATATTACATTAAAGTAGGAAATTAGAGAAAATTATGGTTTTACAATCTTTAGTTGTTCCTTAAATCACTTCTTACTTATGCCCAAAGGATCTTCATTTGTTTTTCCCTCGTTTGCATCATTATTTTTCTTTGTTTTCCTTTGCTTTGCTTTGCTTTGCTTTGCTTTGTCCTTTTCTGTTCTGTTTTGTTCTGTTCTGTTTTGTTTTATTTTTCTTTTTTCTTTTTCTGAAACAGGAAGAGAAAATCCTTTCTGGAGATACTCCTCTTCATGTAAGTGTTTTTTATGCTTGTTAATAAAAACATTGTAATATTAGCCAATATTAGCCATAATATTCAGAATCCAGATGTTTATCATCTGCTCATAGAAAGATAATAAAATCCATATCCCCAACATAGACATCCATGATATGGAGCCAAAACAATATTTTCAGATCTCAGATATGGATTAGAACATGTTGCCCGGTCAAAGTCTAGCGATTTTCATGCCTATGTACCTAAACTGAGTCATAATCAGAAAGTGGGTGAAGATCACTCATATCTTACACATAATTTCCACAACATTCCCCAATTTTGGAGTCTGAGATAACCAGCTTACCATACCTCATATTAACCAGTATATGTGTGTGTGTGTGTTTATTGCCTAAAGTTACAATCCAGTGTGCCCCATTTATATATTTGGAGGACCCAGTAAATGTTAAAGGAACTTATTTCTGAACCAACATGATAAGGTTGTGCTGAAATCCTAAATATACTTACTTCAGTAGAACTTAATTCTGAATAAACTTTCTCAAGATTGCACCACAAGACCTTATTCAATGGTAATAGAACAAGTCAGCATAGAATTTCGGCTAAGATATGCTTTGTTTTTTTAGGTTCTACTCTATTTGCAAGGTTCCTTAAATGGATAAGATTTCAAGTAATACTCCACAGCTCCTTCTATAATTTATGATATTATACAATGTATATATCAACATTTAGCAACCTCCCTAAATAGATAACACCAAATAGATAAACTATACTCAGCCTGTTGATTCACAGTTAACGAGCATCACAACATAGCTAACATCTGGCAAGCTGAAGGTAGGACCTGTTGTGTAAACAGATAATGTTCTCACCACAAGGTTGTGCTAGAGAGTGGTTCAGTGGCTTATTTTGCATTGCACCTAGAGAAAACAAAACACCAAGCTGTGGTAAACATATATTTATTTAAGGCAATTTATCTTGATCTTCAGATGAAAAAGCTCCCCAAATGACCCTATTGATAAACAGAGCAAGCTGTCTTTAACTTGTGGCTTGGAATATAAAATATATGACACAAAAATCAATGTGGGATGCCATAAAGTATTAACACACTTGTTTGCCAGTTTTGGCTTAGTCGTACATTTTGACAGGTTGTGAAGCGTTTTCTTCATGGGACCCTATATATGTGTAGGTGAACCCATAGGATTTTGCCCTTTTCCTTGAACAATTATAACTAATACACTCATATATTTCTTGAGAATGCTTTTTGCATTCAAACTTAAAAGCCATGTATTTGGAAATGCTTCATATGTACTTCAGTCATGGAAAGATTTCTCTTTTAAGTTTAAATATATTCCTTTGATAAAGGTAAATTGGCTTTGAAAAAGAAAATTATGACAGTAATTGTGGTATAGAGGCTCTTGATTTATATCATATTTTGTATGTGCACCGTCCCTAACATAATGGCAAGCTCAGAAACAATTCTGTTGCTTTTCATTTTCTTTAATTAATTCATTAGCAAGAATGGTAACTTACATTTCCATAACAAATCGTTCAAAAAGCTTCTCTGTAACACGGTTCTTTGCTTTTGTGGAGCTAAAGTTTTACTTGACTTAAGAATAAAAGCAACTTGTAGAGTGCACACTTATGTTTAATTATTACTGTGCTGGCTACTACCAGTTTTGCAGAGAAATGTATTTGCCAACTTCCTTCAACCTGGCAGTCTGTTTGGGTTTTGGAGATTCATGCAATGGGAGAAGTAATAAGGGAGAGCTTTCTCCTTTTGCAGGAGCTTTCATCTTTCTTACATTATTGATTACGCATTTGTGGTTCATAATAATAAAATGTCCATACAATGTATTCTCTAGGTATTATACAAAATAAATGTTTGTAATACAAAAACAAGGTTTTCTTCCCTGGCTCTGCTCTGTCATACCATAGATTAAATGTACACCTGGTCCACTGTTAGCCAAACTATAGAACTGGATGACAGAAGCTCGTTTGTGCCCTTCTCTACTGCTCTGGTTTTCCATCCACTGCCATTTTCTGGAATGTGCAGAGGCAGCTTCTGCCTTCATTTGACACCATTTCAAGGGAGTTTCCACATAGAGGTAGTGTGCATAGTATTAGTGTGTAGTCTGCAAAGCAACCACTAAACTTTTAGTGATAGTACTGAATGAAGGGAAAGAAGGAGGGAGGGGTTAAAAGCTAAAATAGTGCATCTCTATCTTTTTACACCATTTCCCTTAATGGTATAAAGACGACTTTTTTTTTCTTAATAGCACTGGCCTCATGATATAAAATTAGAAAGTTGCTTGTTCCCTATCATTGCTCCCCCCCCCCCCGGTCACGAAGGCGTTGGCACTTACAAGTGAAGGAACAGAGGGGGAGAGTCTCTATTTGTTTATTTTGTTTCATTGGCTTGTGGAATGACCTAAAAAGGCTCTTGTACAAATCCACTAGTTTTTGAACAGACTGCAATGGAGAAATGAGCTCTCCTGTAATTCAGTTCCAACTTTATCAGTCTGGATAATAATAGACTCTACAAAGCAGAGATATGAGGAGGAGAGTATATGCCAAGTTTTGTACCCAAAGCCTGTGGTACATAGTAAATTAAACTGAGCCAGTGCATTATTAGGATTGTCTCTGTACATCTTGGTGGAAGAAAGTGTCCTCTCTCCTTCAGGATAGGTTAATCACAATTCCTAGTTAGTCTGGAAAGTGAACTGGCTGATTTTCTCAGTAACTTTAGTGAGAACTTTAGAATGTAGATAATTAACATCACGGCAGTACAATCTGTTCTTTCTTGTACGGTAGATAGTAGGGTGTGTGCATAGACCAATTTTCTTGAATTTAACTTGGATTTGCTTCCTTAGATGGCGTTAAAGCACTGGCATTAAAGAAACATGCAAAGGGCAAATCCAATGTTACTTAGCACAATAATTTCTTTTTACTTCCTCCTCTCATCTGCCCGGAGCACATACTCATTAATTAGACTAATTTAGAGTAGGCTGAGAAAGAGAATCATTTAGCCAAAGGAAGCAGTGATAAATCCATTTCATATGCTTTGTATTTACTAATATAATAAGACTAGGTCAGCAATTCAAGGAAACCAGTTGCAAATTTAAAATAGAAACTTAGTTCCTTGGTTCATATTGGATGCCTTGATGCACTGACTCAGACTGAGCATGGCTTCTTCCAATTATTATGATTCATAGCCAGAGTTTTAAAATTATTTTATAAAAGACAAATGAAATCCTTATAGGGCCTGCTGTCAGATGGAAGAGTATTATACATAAGTATGCCAAGTAACAAAGCTGGAAGGAAAAAGAAAAGTTGTAGTCTACTTTTCTGCTTTCTATGAGGCCCTTGGGAGATGCAGAAATAGTGTGCTGGCTTTTCTTAATATTTTTTATACACATTCTCTATCACAAACCTGGAAATAAACAGGCTTCTATAGTTTCATTTGCCTACTGCCTTCAAACCACCTTGGAAATTGTCATTATAGAAGATGGAAACTTCAGTCTTAGGGATATTTATTTATTTTTATTTGTCTCATTTATATAGTTGTCCATTCACAAGAAAGTGATTCTGGATGATGTACAACCAAACTAATGTGAAAGGGAGTACATATCTAGCAGGCATATATTGCTAAGCCCATTCCTTTCTTTATGATCTTAAGGTTTAGCAGGCAGAATAGAGTAGCAGTTTTCAAGCATTTGCAAGTTGCAGTACCTTAGTTTAAAAATTCCCAGAATCCTTGATCAAGAGAAAAAACTCTAGTAGTAAAAAACAGGCTATATTTGAGTTATATATAATATTATTTTTTTGCACTTAGTCTCTCAAGAAACCTGTCTTCATGGAATTGTAGGATTCTGTGAAATATATGTTTATCCCTGGAATAGGTCGTCTTTATATTTAAGAGTCATAGTACAGTATCTTTGAACCCTGCATTTCAAATAGCACATTTTTATCTCATCTGCAGACATAACAAAAATTCTTTAATCTACAAGGCAAGATGCTGTTGATATGTAAAGGCTACATAAGCCAAAAGACCCAGTTCAGCTAATGAAATCATTGAAGAGAGCTATCACAAGCAAATCTATAGTGTTTAGTCTATATCAGCCTATTTATGTTAAAATGGATATGCATTAAAATGCACCTCAAAAACACTACAGCTCACCTATTTGTGTTTAGATGCATATGTTGGAAGCACATCTCAGTAAACATTTTATTGAAAGCAGCGCAGGGCAAATATTCTACATACAGGTCTGTTATTGTTAATAACAATAATTGGCGAATCAGAAGTAATGCATCAGCAAACAAGAAAACAGTATAAAGATTCAATTTATGCAGCCCATATATAAATAATCTTTGGACTGCAAACAATATAGCACATCAAAATTATTGCTGTGGTACCTTGTGGTAATGAAAATCAAATTGGAAATGCCAATTGTTAGTTCTGTATATGCGCACAACCATATAGGGTAATATTTCACATAGATATTTCTTCCTGCTCATAGTCTCTTCAATATAAATGACTTAAGTTCTTTGGGTCCTTTTGAACTGCTATGGCATACATTTTTAAGCAGGGAATAAATGAGTTTGGAAAATTACACAGGGATATTGTCAACTTTTATTTAGGCTTGTTAAAATGTTTATGTTTGATACAATAACTTGAGAAAATATAATTTATTTATTTTTATTTATTAAACTTATATGCTGCCATTCACACTATCGAAGTGACTCTGGGCATTTTGTTTTGTAATAATTAATTTTAAGAAAGCTCTGTATCCCTGTTACTCTTCAATTGGGTCCAGGTATACTGAAGCCTTTAGCTCCCAGCAGAAGTAGGTTTTCCCAGACTAGGGTTCTCAGGATTGCATTTTTATAGTGAGAGACTCATCAGAGTCAGTTCTGGAGTTCAGTGTTTCTTAAAGTGCAACTCCATAGGGGGAAAGTGGATTGCTCATTGTCATCACCGATATTATTTTTAATTGCAATGCTCAGAAGGATCCATCTTTCTGTGTTCATTTGCTGCAACAAATACTACCAACATTCATTACTTTCTATCAGTGTCTTACCCTATGGAGGAACCAGCCCTGCCCATCCACATTGCGGAGGGGATAGACGTTCTGACTGGTGAGTGCAGCTAAGGTGGGATGCTTGTGAAATGGTGGGGGAGGCATGCTGATGCAGAGAGCTTGAGACCTTGTTTGTGTTATGTATTTGGGAAATTTAGGAATGTTTTCCATGAACATTTTAAGTAGTTTTCTGTTTTTCCAAAATGTGCTATATTGATAGGACCAGTTCTCAATTCACACAAATGTTTCACCACGATCGATCTTCCATCATGATAATGTGACACACTGATCTGTAATTACCTAGCCTTGCAGGCTCTCATAATTTTACTGTCTGTATAAAAATATATAGCCATTTCTGCTATTCAGATGTACAGAGATAGGGTGCAATAGAAAGACATCTAGGCAAATGGCTATTTCGATTTGAAATTGACTAGCTTGTTTTTAATTGCTCACTCATAACTCTTCAAAACACATTTGCATGATAATATATTTTTCTTGGGCAAATCTTAAGAAATTTGAAACGTTTTTGTTGTCTTTTTTGGGGAATTACAATTAAAAACCCAAATTATTATTATTATTTTTAAAAAAGTGAAGACACAACTCTATTAACTAAAGGCAGAGATTCAGATTATCCAAGCAAGCAAATATTTCCACTGCTAGAGGGATCTAGTGTAGCCAAAGAGAAGAATTGGAAGATAGCTTTTGCAACATATATTAATATGCAGATAGGACCACATTTGTGGATATCATAACTGTTAGCCAAAGGTGGTGCAATAGATCTCTTCTCCATCCTCAGATCTATCTAAAACTGTCATCAAGAGCCTACTGTTCTTGTTCTAGAACAAATTTAACTCAATTGTTCTGAAGTCCATAATTATTTAGAGATTAATCTCAATATTAAGTTACTTATATTTTAATCGAGACACCTGTCTGAAGTATTTCATAGGATACACTATTAATGAAGGATGAGAGTTTGTTTCTGATATCTGACTAATTTTTATGCTTTAATGTTTTATTTTCTGCCAAAATTAATGATTCTAAATACATGATTTTTAAAGTAGGAAAGTGCTCTTTCAGTCCCTCTAATTTTTGTGGTGGAAAAATCATTGAGCACAATTCCATCTATTATCTTTAGCCATGTGATAAAAATGTGAATTACTCAGAAATTAATTTATATGCACTAGATTATTTTATAATTTACCTTAGAATCTGAGACTTAGAATGTAGAACTTCATATGAACAGACACTGTATGACAATTAATTAGCTTAATAATGAAATGACAGTCTCTTTATCCTTTCTTCACAAGAAAGCATCTTTGATATTTCTTACAGATTTCTATATGTGAACTGTAAGAAATCTGGACGTTTTTACTTCATGATATAGTTACATTTAATATATATTTTGTATTTCTTGTCTATATTGTTTCTGTATTACTTATTTTAGTATTTTTCATCCCAAACAGTTAGAAGCTAGTTTTACTGTAATTGTGTAATTTTATTCAGATTCATATCAATTTTTCCTATAAGAATACAATCAAAATATGCATACTTTTCCTTTTAAATGTGAATTGAAAATACTTTGGCTTCCTGGAAAGCAATAGGGAACTCCACAAAAACTGTGTTTATTTCATATAACTTGTCTGTCTCCTATTCCTCTTCTTCTGCCTTTCTTTCAAGCTCCGTATTATTTAAGAAAATTGGTTTATTTTTATGTGCATAAAATATTAGTGTTTAAGATTTTAATTCCAGTTTTTTTGTTTATACAAAAATGTTGCTTGGCAAATGCAGCTCTTACTCCTACTGTATAACAAAACAGTTAAGAAACTATAAATATTTCCATTTCCTGGTAATGTACATTCTCAGGTACAATATCAGAGGGATTTTGTACAAATGGTTGCTTTGTATACTCTGGAAATTAACTGCATGCTTACTGAGTGCAAATTGCCTGTGTGCAATTAACACTAACTAAATATAAATAATGATGGCAAAATCATTATTTGAACTCAGCTGGAACTGGAAAAAGAAAAATTGAAATAATATTAAGGAGAATCTTTGTAGGATTAGTAGTGTTTCCACCATTGTTGAAAACAAAGGATAAATTGCCCTTTTAAAAATATACTTCAATTTGCAGAACATAGTAAGCCAAAATAACTGTATTTCTCCATAGTGTGGGGAGGAGTATCCAGAATGGGTTAACTCCGTCCTCTCATTGATTGAACTGAGTCCGATAAGCTCTTTAAGCCACGCCCATGTCACCAGGTAATCCCCAGTTATCGCCTCAGTTCTCTCAACTGGACTGTTGTGTTATCCTGTGTTCCGGTGGACTTTGCAAATATCGATTTAATGCATGCTTTGCTCTGCCTCCGGCTGCATGAGTACCTGGCTATCATCAGAATCCCAGGCGGAGGTAGCAGTGTTTGCCATTAGCCCTCAGGGGCAGCGTGCAGTCTAGGTCACAAGTGAGGAACCAACGGTCACTCAATGAGGATCTCCCTACCGGGCAACAAAGATCACGCTGAACTGGCATGGCTCCTTTAAATGGACAGCCTATCAGGGGGAAGCCCTTAATCAGTGCAGGAGCGCTCCACCGCTCCCCTCGGGGTCGAACGATGAATAAAAGTGCAGTTAATTAGCTACCTGGAATAATTAAGAAGTTGCCAGTCATTTGCAATCTTAAATACTATCTTGTGAAAATGTTTTATTTATTAGTACATAAAATTAAGATACAGGTAAATACAGTATTTTAACAACATCTGAATAAAGCTATAGAAGGTGAGAACATGTCTTTCATTCCAGACATGTTCAGATAAATTTACTATAGAAATTCTTCAATGACTATCAGAAGAGACAGACATATATCATTATACTTGTATATCAGGGGTGGGTTTCTCGCCCCGTTCCAACCGGTTCGGTTGGAACGAGGCCGGCGGCATCCTCGCGCATGCGCGCGGTGTGTGCACGCAGCGCGTACATGCGTACTAGCGTCTGTGCGATGCTCCAGCTGCTCCTGGAGGATTGCGCAGGCGCTGTATGCGTCCTGCGCATCCGTGGAAGCGCAGAATTCGGCAAAACCAGGTAAGGAGCGGGCGCGCGCGGGCGCGGGGGGGGGGCTTCGCTGTTCCCGGAAGTTACTTACTTCCGGGTTTGGCGACCAACCGGATCGCAGGGACCGCCGCGAACCGGTTGAAACCCACCCCTGTTGTATATAGACCATATAAATGTATAAAGTACATTATAAACTATAAGGAAAATAAGATTATCTGCAAAAGATAGCGGTAGCAGTAGGCATCTGTGGGAGTGTGCAGACAAATGGTTAAATTACATCATGGTGCGAATAACATCATTTAATTGGGCCAAATATTGGGGTGCATGCATGGAAGCACAGAATTTGTGTCATGGTGTCTTCATATCAGTATTGCCATTTTGTTGAAATTCTGGTTTCCTGAGAATATCAATGATAAATAGCTATTATTTCTTTTGTTTGGAAAAGGAGAAATAGTCCCATGTCAGCTTTTATAACAGCAGGCTTATATAATTTGTAGCATGTTCTCTGTAGAAACATTATGGTCTTTTTTTACTCTATGTTCCCATCCTTCTGGTAACTTGTCTTGCTGTTAAAAAAAAAAAGCAGTACTTGGAAATGCCAGGGCAGAGCCCAGAATCTTTTCTGTAGAAGCATATGAGCTCACTATTAATTATATTTCTTACTGTGATCAGCAACATAACAATCCTGTTTGCAGTGGATTATCTTCTAATTCATTCCCTTATTTTAATTCTTTATCATTTTAATGAATACAAAGAATAGCTAATTGTATTTGTTCTTATTAGACTTATTGCATGAATGTTAAAAGTGCTTTGAGTGTTTTTCTTTCTTTACCCATCTATGCGACACAAATTATATTTTATTTCTAGATAATTGAAGAGAGAACATTAGATCTGGAATTGACCTGGACACAATAGACAAGTTAGGAAGTTCTGCTCATTACTATCTTTTTTCTAAAGGCATAGGAGGGGTTTTTTTTTGTTAAAAAATATTTTAATCTCTCAAACTTAACATTTGTAAAAAGGATAATTTGAGAGTTTGTTTTTAGATTGCTGTCTGAGAATTTGTGCTGCAGCACAGAGTTAACACTTCACCATTTTGTATTAGGAATAATGATGTAATTTTAAATTAGTGGGTAAGTGTGAATAATTGTTATTAAGTTTTTAGTAAGCTCACTCTAGGGGTTGTTAATTGAAGACTGAAAATGGTTTGTGGTCATTTAAGAACTGACAGTTGTATTTAACAGCCATCATTCTTACAGTAATTCTTGTAGATTTAACAGTGGCTATATACATACAGCTTCACCTGTGGAAAGCTGTTTTAGGAAATACTAGCTGAGTAGCACTGATGATATTACTTAGTAAGGTAAAGAAATGTCTGCAAGGAAACTATGTCAGCACCAAAGGCTCTACAACTCTGAGCTACAGATATTCTCTTTTATTGGAATATACTGGTTCTATTCAGACAATCATATATGAATGAACCTTCTAGTAGTGGTGCAGCTTCTAATCCTCCTTTCACAAGTGGCTTTGTTGGTGTTAAATTTATAGGAATAATTCTCATGTCATAAACAAATTTTAGGTGCAGTTTGGAATTTTATCCAAAAGTTATCTAAGACATTGTCTTCTTTTGTAAGTTATATTTTAAAATAACCACAGTTTATGGCATCGTGATAAACTGTATTAGAAGTTAAAAAAAATCATTCTCCTAGAGATCATGTCAGAAGGGAAAAGGGTAGGATAAGATAGAGACAAGTATGCAGGAATCTCTTCATGTATTGTTAAACTATATTTTATTATTCTCAGCGTTATTCCCATAGTACGGCAGTGTCAGCTTTCTACATTATAATATCTAAGGTGCTTATTTATCTCTTCAGTAAAACAACAATAACAACAACAAAAACCCCAAAGTGTAGCCTTCTAGGTTGAAATCTGAATCTTGAGAATTAATAGTGATCCCTCACCAGCTTTTAGGTAATTCTCATTAACAATACTATTTCTAATGTTTTGAAAATAGAAACTACTATAATTCAAATATATAGTAGTATTTCTTATGGAATTGAAAAATATTCATTAAACTGAAATTGTTTGGAAGACATTTGAAATATTATACAAAGAGGAAGATCTAGATTTTCTATGCATGGATTCTAGGATTTTCTAAACCACTTAGAAAAAAGTGTTTTGGGCATCTTTTAAAATCTGCTGTTCAGAATATGAAGTTACCATGTTCTTTAGATGTTTATTTTGCCATTTTTGAGAACTTCCCCTTGTTGTTTGAACTTCCATATGTATGTACAGAGAACAGTTTAGTTAGGATTGTTGCCAAAGAAAAGCCAGTCTCCTGGACTGGTCACTTAGTCTTATTTACTTCTTTTAATTTACTGAAAATAGCTTGGAATCAGTTGAGGTAATATCAGGAAAATAAAATTGAGCAGCACTTCTTGTTCACATCATAATTGATAGTTTATGGGAGGATATTAAGGAATGGTTTATAAATATAAATGGTGAGCTATTACAAAAATGTTTGGCAATAAAGACAATGCCTTATTAATAAAGTTGTGCCTGGCCAGCCAATAGTAAAATGCAATAGTTTCATCAATGTAATATAATTGAACAACTTGGTTAATGATGGTGCGAATTTGATGGAACTGATTTGGTTCATCATCAATACATAACATTCATGTATGATCTAGACAATTTTTTAAAAAATTGGAAGGAACTTTCCTATGGCTGCATTCATATTATTTCTTGCTATAAATAGCAGCTTTGGCTCATTGTTCAATTATCTTAAATATTTGAGCCAAGCTCTTGTTTTTGAAGGAAAGGCAAACATATGTCTCCTAGAAATTGGCATGTCTTTCAGAAGTGGAACTATTCAATTATTTTATTATTCAAGAATGTGAGTTGCTCCTTATTAACTGATAAAATAGCTGTAGTTCATATTTGCAAAATGCCTTCCAACTCTATATCAGATTTTTGATTCTTATCTATAAAAAGTAATTATAGCTTTACTCAGTAAAATAAAATTGCAGGAAATCAAATGCAAATCATGTGAATGCTCAGCACAATGCTCTTTGTTAAACACTGGTGGGGTTTTTGTTTTTTTTGAGAATTCTTTTCAATCTTGTAAGTACCCTTTTTATCTTCCTTGGCATTTCCTTCAATAGATAGTGACCATGTTTGGTCATAGAATAAAATTTAAAATAAAAGAGCAATAAAGAATAGATATTTAATAGGCCAATATGAAAATAACCTAAAATTATAATACTATTCATTATAAACTGTTTAGGGATTATCAGGATCCTAAATTAGGAAATCGATTTTCTTTTTTTAAAAAAACGAGGCATTTAAAAATTGGAAGTCTTTTAAAACTCGAATCGCTTTAGTTAAATGAAGAAATCACATATTATCTCAAATTAACTGTTCAGTTTTTAAGCAGTACTTCCATTTCATATTTGAAATAATATATTCCTTTATAAAATAAGCAATGTTTGGTTAACTGTTCTGTATTATTCAGGAATCAGAAACAATTCAGACAATCTCAATCCTACCTAATCCAACCTGGTTAATTTACAATAGCTATATTGTTTTGTGTTTATAAATCACAAATCTCTTCTTCTTCCAGCTGGCTCTCATTCACAAGAAGTAGACAGGCAAAATTTTGGCATGGCTCTCATTAACAAGCTTTTACACATGATTCCTATTAAATGTTCACTTCAGAGTCCACTTATGCAGAAAAGAGTCTGCATAAATAGTGGGCTATGCAATAGGCAGAGGAAGGACTGATTCAACGCCAGTTAGTAACCAAGAAAAATGTAACTGCATGTTAGCATACATCTTGATTCTGCCCCGGTAAGATAGAATTTCCAGTCTCTTTCTTTGCATGGATAATGAAACTGAAATGTAAAAAAAAAATATTTCCCAAGTTCCTGTAAATCAGGGGTGTCAAATTGGCAGCCTGCAGGCCAGATGCATCATGCACAGGCCACACCCACCCCAGCTCCACAAATGGGAAAAACGTTACATGATGGCAACATGATGTTGTGAGTTTGACACCCATGGGATAAATCATTGAGAACTCATGGATAGAAAGAGTGCTTACTCAGTGATTTGCATCACAGTTGGTTCTGGTGTGGAGATTTATGAAATAGCCAGGAATAGAAAATAAATGGTTGGACTTATAAAAAGAGGTTTGCTAATAATATGTCCAAGAATTTATACCAAATATCCCCTATTCTTTTTTTCAAATTTCCTCTCTTTCCTGATCAGAAACATTAGCTTTCCATGCTTTTGATGGCTAAATGGAGATGAAGATTTGGCCTGGTGATCTTTCTCAAGGATAACAAAGAAAATAAATAATAATTATTCTTCACTGCCACTGCTATTCCTGTAATGAATATTACCTTTTGACCCTCTTAATCCAACATATTTTGTGGATTACTCATTCTGAGGATTATGCAATACGTTGAATTCTAAGCTAATTAAATGGGAATTTGTGCAACATACTAAGCCACCAAAAAGAAAAGAAAAAAAAAACCAATAGAAATTTAAAATTAGTCAAACTTAACATGTGAAGCAAATACAGCCCCTAGGATTTTGATAGAGCTGGTTAAGTGGTGTATGAACACAATTACAATGTTCTTTAGTATACCTGCTTAGCATTCTCTTTTATACCATCATAATGACTATATTGAATCAAATATTTGAAACAAATTGACTGTTATTTATTTCACTCTTATCAGACATTTTCCGTTATTATGTATTTTCCATCCAGATACATTCAGAAAAAACCAAATATTATTTATATGATATCATCATGAAAGAAATCTTGAGTTTAAGAAATTTCCTGTTGGTTATTAATAATATTTTTAATGTATCAGTTAAACATTCAGAGATACATTTAACAGATTTGTTTACTTACCAACTTAACCCCGGTGATTTGTAATTCATGGAAAAGTTTTCATTTACATTGTACATTGATGCATATGTGTCTGGCAACTGAGTTCTAGTTGCAGATTTTCTGCCAAACTCGGTCAGTTTCAGATCTCAACCATGCCAGCCATATCTGTTTACCACTCAGAAAGCATACAATTAAATGCAGACATCCCGTACAACAATGCAAACTATGCTTTTCCAGTCACATATACAATAAATTAAATAATCTTCCTAGTTTCCAGAAGTCAGATAAAAATGAAAGGTATTTTTACTAATGAAACACTGTGGAAAGATAAAAAGGCTTAAAGTATTACTACTTTAAGCACTGGCTTTGAGCAAGGCAATTTCTTTTATTATTAGGATTAGGTTTAAATGTTCTATTTTAATGGTTTTTAGTTTTTATAATAATGAATTATTTTATTAAATTATATTACTTAATTAAAATGAAATGTTCTGTTTTAAACAGACTTTAAAACCTTTCACCCTCCAGCTTTCTATCATGTGTAGTTCCAGTCCCAATTGTAAGTGTAAGTCAAAGACTACTTGCAGAATATTTGCAGAATATTTTTCTGCTAAAAGAAAACCAGTTTCACACAAATGGTGAGAATGGATTAACTCTTGTGCTTTCAAATGTGCAAAAATATATCTACAGGAAGGAGCTAATTTTATGCTGTCAAAAATATTTTTGCATATTCTTCTGCGGTTCAAAGCAAATAGCATACGTCCCACAGATAATATTTCATATGTAGTTCATTAGTATAGAAAGTCTTATCTTGATGAAATCTTGTTTTTTAAATCAATGATACTATATTATCAATTATAAATATATTAAATTGAAAGCAGTGTTTATAAACTAGGATTATTTCTGAAAGTTCAGTGTATTTTAGATTTGGTATCAAGTCTTCTCATTGAAGCGCTTTAATTAAGAACTATCGTTATAGGAATGAATGCAGTTTTATTGTGCATCAGAGGAACTCCAAACTTTTAAAAACAATTTAAATGAAATGCTAAGAAAGTGATGGAAAGAGAAAGCCTTATTTATATGGGGCTAGATAAACAGGCCCTGGATAAACAGGAGATATAGGGGAATTGCTATTTTATATTCATATTACTAGGATTATCCATTATATTTGACAAAAGCTTATTAAAGGCCATTCTGTTGGAAATCTTTAAAGTATGGGTTTTTTTAAAAGAAAATTAGGCATGGAACAAGTACTGGGACAGTGAAAAGAAAGAAATGATGTAATTGTGGGAGGTTTTTTTATAGAAAGCAACTTTACCTGATGAATTAGGCTTTTATTACCTATTAATACTAATATTACCATAAAACTGCTCAAGGGGTTGTTGGATGTTGAAAGAGTAGCTTTCACAAATAGCTTCCATGATCCTCCACACAAAAAGAAAGATGAGACTTACTACTGATTTCAGTCTCTGCAAATAAAGTGCCATCATAATAGTTAACACTTCCTTTAGCACAGTGGATGTAACGACTGCCTAGCCAGAATGTTCAGGAACCTGGCATGCTAACCTCATATTATGAAACGTTTTCTTGTACCTGTTAAAGTAAGGAAACATTCTTGTTCCATGCTTTCAACTTTGCAGATTCATATATTACTAATCATTAGTTGCATCTCTCTTGCGCACGTATTGATTTTTTTGTGAAACTTGGCTTAGTTACTGACTTTGCATAGGTGCTTGCCAACATGTTGCATAAGGAGATGGACCTGTTGAGCAAGGTCTGTTAAGTAAATCAGTTTATATATCTTACACTGTAATTTTGATCTTTCTAGAAAACAAAACCATGGCAACAAAGGAGAAGCTGCAGTGTTTGAAAGATTTTCACAAGGATATCCTTAAACCGTCCCCTGGCAAGAGTCCTGGGACACGGCCTGAGGATGAGGCGGAGGGAAAGCCACCCCAACGGGAAAAATGGGCCAGCAAGATTGATTTTCTGTTGTCCGTAGCTGGAGGGTTTATTGGATTAGGCAATGTTTGGCGATTTCCGTATCTCTGCTATAAAAATGGCGGAGGTGAGTATCCTTATTGTTATCCTCATAATTACTTAAAGGTCTGAATGGTTATTTTACCAATTCATAAAATTGTCCTAATCATCCTTCTGTTTTTCCCCTTCTACAGGTGCATTTCTCATACCTTATTTCATTTTTCTGTTTGGGGGAGGTCTTCCTGTATTCTTCCTGGAAGTGGCCCTAGGACAATATACCTCTGAAGGAGGAATTACATGCTGGGAAAAGATCTGCCCTATTTTCTCTGGTTGGTTGGTTATTTATCTACTTCTTCCTTAATTTGTAGTATGTTAGGAAGTTGCTAGAGTGGTAGGTTAACACAGAAAGGAAATGTGTGTGAGTGGATGGGATGCTATGCAAAAGGGAGAAGCCTTGGTTTTTAATAGCAGAGGAGATTTATCTGAAACTCTTTTTCCCATTCATTTCCTTCCATCCATGTGAAAGGCTGTCTCATGCATTTCAGAGAAAAATAGAATAGTGGTGGTAGAGCAATTGGTTCAAGGAAAAAGCCTGCTTGACACTTTAAATAAAAATAAAGCACTTTAAATAAAAATCTAAAGCCATTATTCTGAAAGGAATTGAAATCTTCTCTATAGCCAGATAATAATGCAATTTAACAGATAGGGGTTTTTCCCCCCCCCACAACAAAACTTTTCCCTATATTGTATGACCTTTCTGTATATTTTAAGTATTTTCATTAACATTGTTACAAAGGTATTAACATATGTAATTATTTATTTGTATTCTGTTTTGTTTCTGTTTAATTGACAACTAAATGGCCTTAAATAGAAATCTAAAACATTGCCTTTTAATTCTGTCCCCCTGTCCTTCCTTCCTTCCTTCCTTCCTTCCTTCCTTTTTTCTTTCTTTGTTTCTTCTTCCTTCTTCCTTCTTTCTTTTTCTTTTTCTCTCTCTCCTTCCTTCTTTCCCTCCCTCCCTCCCCCTGTATCTCTCTCTCCTCAGATGTCTAAATTTAGGCTTTTGCCCCGGAAGATAAAAGAATTTGAACAGTTACCATGGCCAATGACACCATAAATTATTGCTGAGCTCATATACTCAAAAATCATTAAATTGTTCCAGGGCATTTTGGTATTTAAAGTAACGGTAGCTTAGACCAGATTTTTTCTCTCTTTTGGTCTCCCACAGTGCTTATTTGAATCAAAATTCCCGGTGGTGCATCATTAGCTGCTTGTATGACATTTTGAGTAACAGCTCACATGGCCTTATCTACCAATGAACCTGTGTTTGAAAAGCAAACAGAGTGGTTGTCAGGCACTGATAACAGAGTTAAACTTTATCTCTTAGCAGCCATGAGAATTTTGCAAAAATATTCAAGAAAGGACTAGATGTATTTCAGCATTCTGCTTGTTGGAATTATCTTCAGGTCTTTTTGTATCTGACACAATGCAAAGCTTTTCCTCAAGAATATTGCTGTTTGTGCTGCTGGCAATGGGGCTTCTCATATTAAATCCATGAAGGAATATACAGTTGCAAGAGCACTAACCTATTCAAGGTTTAAGAATGCTGTCTCTTTTGGAAACTGTCTATCCTAACGTAGACTCTATTCCACTTTCTTAAATGTAAAAATTGAAGACTATTGCCTTAATCGTTCAGGTGTGTTATAGAAGCTTCTAAACTAGCAAATGTTTATTTGGTGATCTCATACATTTTTTTTCTTTCTTTAAAAAACAGGAATAGGTTATGCTTCCGTAGTGATTGTGTCTCTTTTGAATGTATACTACATCGTCATCCTGGCTTGGGGAATGTACTATCTATTCCAGTCATTTTCGCACACTCTGCCATGGGCTCATTGTAATCAAGAATGGAATACAGAATACTGTGTGGAAGACACCCTCAGGAAGAACAAAACACTGTGGCTGTCACTCAATGTCACTAACTTCTCATCTCCTGTCACAGAATTTTGGGAGTAAGCAAGTTTCCTTGTTATTGTGTACAGGAAAGAGACAGGGTTTATAAATTGCAAGAGACACAAATATATTAGGAAGCATGCGGCATTGCCTAATCTTGTATGGATTAACAAGGTATAACTATCTAGAGATTGCTTAAATCATAGGTGAAGCAGTGGTGGGTAGCATAGTAGTAAGCCAGGTTGGAAGATGTCATTCCATAACAATTTGAGGTTAATACATTTAATATCCAGGAGAGTGTTTTTCTCCTGAAGCCTGGAAGAATCTAAAACAATTCCTTTTCTTTTTGGATCTATACATGCCCATAATGTTTAAAAGGCTTAAAGATTAATATTTTTCCATTTTTTATATCACACATGAATGTGTGAACAGGTTCAGTAAAATAAGGATGAAGTCTGCATAGTTAGGGTTCCTTTCTAAGCCTCACTCCTGTATTAGAATAGAACAGAATGAGAAATAGAATAGAGTAGACTTTATTACAGTCATATACCAAGAAAGATTGGTTGGATTGGATGTAAGACTGGATTATGTAAGCAAAGTAAGTCAGAGTGCCTGAGGAATTTAGAGAGATGGGGCATCAATTTTCCAGTTAAGTGGCCAATTTTGTGAACTAGTTGGATCATGCAAGCTGTGACTAGTTGGATAATCAATTGAACCACCTACATCTAGAATATTTTCCTTCAAAATTGAACTCCCCCTTACTCTAATCCCAATGGAAAAGAACAGTCTAAGAAAAGACATTGGAGCATAATCTCCTGGAAAGGACTTTTGTCCATGAGGAATCAAAACTATCTTCTATAATTAAAGGGAGTGAATCCAGCTGGCATATGTAATAATTTCAGCCAAAAAGTAAAAATACTGATCCAAAGGCCAGATTCAATTCTAGAGAGGGTTGCTGCTTTCCAAAGCACCATATTTGGAGCGTAGTAAGGAACCTGGAAAATATTTCTCAAACATTTGACTGGACTTGCCATCTCATTTACATGTCCCAAATTGAGATTTATTTTCAGAATTTTCAAAGTTTTTAGTTATCAACTTTGGGTTTTATGAGTAGAAAGCTAATTGTGACCTTTTGTTGTGCTAAGCCTTTGCTTATTTTAAATCAGGATGATCATTAGTCGCAGCAGTGTTTCCAGGAGAAAGTTAAAACTAAAAAGTTGGCAGGCAGAGCTTTGTGATGGAAGTCCAGTCCCAGGAGCTACCCAGAGTTATTTAATTGGTGAGAAGGGTGGCATATAAATTTAATAAATAAATAAATAAATAACATGCATGTGTGTTGACACAACATAAGGGTGGGGCTTGCATCATACAATTCCATCCATTAACTTTCCTTTTTGTTGTCCATTCCTCCCATGGACACTGTGATTGTCTAGTGTTTAAGACACCAGGCTAGAAATCAGGAGACGGGGGGTTCTAGTCCCACCTTAGACATTAAAGTTGACTGGGTGACTTTCGGCCAGTCACCCTCTTTCAACACAACCCATCCCACAGAACTGTTGTGGTGGAGGAAATAGAAGGAGGAAGGAATATTAGATATGTTTATCAACTTGATTTATTTATAAAAATAATAACAGCAGGATATAAATAAATAAATAAATAAATAAATAAATAAATAAATAAATAAATAAATAAGATCATAAAAACAATTCCACTTTTTGCTGCCATCTAATGGTCCTCTAGATGTTCTCTATTATTTGCTATTAACTCACTTGAAGTTTGTACATTCAGGAGACAACCATTTCATTTTATTAATCCTGGATATTTAGATGTTTGTGTAGTAGAATTAAGGTGGGTTGGATTCATTGAAAAACTCACCTTTACATGCTAAGTGATGTAAATAATCATAAAGCCATTGATTATGCATCAGTGGCATAATAATTATAGTTAATGCAACTAATGGCGTTTGCAAATTTCATGCTTGTTTGAGCATAAGTCATAAGGGATAAGCAAATGGGCCCTCATTTGTGTCAAGTCCTCTTGGGATTATATCATGCAATTATGTGCTTCAGTTTCTTAGTTGTTCACTCCACCATTTCTGGTTGTAAGCATAGTATTGAAAAGGTAAGAGTGAGAAGAATATCAGTAAACAAAAGTTTGCACCATTCACATAGTTAATTCAAGTTTTAAGAGTTTCATAATTAAAACCCAATGGATTTTCAAATATGAGTTTATCACATTCAGAAATCCATCTAAGCAAACCAAAAGAGAACTAAGAAAAATTTGATCTTGAAGCAGGCATAATTTTTTTTAAATGTCTTTGTATTTTTCTTCTTTTTGCACAAAAAACAGTTTAAGGTGATTACTTCAGGCTTAATTATAGTTGTAACTTGAGGACTGCCTGTATATAAAGTTCATCTATCCTAGAAAAGAGTGATATTAAAAAGTATAAATGTATATTAAGAAGCAATTGGGTATGAATATATCATTTATAGCAAGAAATAGAGATCAATGCCATCATCACACTATATTTGCCCATCAGAGGCCAGCTTTTGAGCAAAGCCAATGAAATTGTTTGGTGATATATCTGTTGTCTTCTGTTTCCTTTTTATCCTCAGGCGGAATGTTCTGGGGTTGACTTCAGGCATTGATGAACCTGGTGTTCTCAAATGGGACCTGGCTCTTTGTCTTTTCCTTGTCTGGGTGATTTGTTTCTTTTGCATTTGGAAAGGTGTGAAGTCAACCGGGAAAGTAAGTTTCTGCTGCATTTATTATGCCAGGCGATAACAATTTCTTTTCCCCCTAAAGATTAGCTTTTCTTAATTAAAGGCTTGGCATGGTGTTTTGTAACTCCAAAACATCATCAGTTTGAGAGGAATTATAGTATAGCATTGAGGAGTGTATTTTGAACCAAACACTTAGCTGCCAAGCAGGATAAAAATGTTCAGAAACTAATTTTAAACCTGAAGCAAATTTGGGACCTAAAATTCCCAACTTCTTGCCTTAGCAAGGGTCATGGTCCAACTTTTAAATCTTTCCACCTTTCAACCATGTCTAGTTTATTGCAGATTGGGAATGCAGTTTCTTATAGGAGCTCATAACGTTTTCAAAGTGCTTTCAAAAAGCCTAGTTTTTCATTTCCCCCATTCCTTTTAACATTTATTAATCAAATGTATATAATCATCCATCTCACAAAAAAGTAACTCTGCTTTTATTCTAAAAGGCCTTTTATAATCATTTATTCCAAGGGATGTGGTGGCTCAGTGGCTAAGATACTGAGCTTATTCGAATCCCTAGCGGCGCGTAACAGAGTTAGCTCCCATTACTTTCCCAGCTTCTGCCAACTTAGCAGTTCAAAAGCACGTAAAAAATGCAAATAGAAAAATAGGAACTACCTTTGGTGAGAGGGTAAGAGTGCTCCATGCGCCTTTGGTATTGAGTCATGCCAGCCACATGACCACAGAGACATCTTTGGACAGCACTGGCTCTTTGGCTTAGAAAAAGAGATGAGCACTGCCCCCTAGTGTTGGGAACGACTAGCACACATGTGCGGGGGAACCTTTAGCTTTACCTAATCTTTTATTAAGAGGATAATAAAACATTATCAACTGGTAATTAGTTAATAGCCAGGTCTCTTTTCATCCTAAAAATATGCAAAAGAATGAAGTACAAAAATTAAATTGTCCAAGAACATGATATGTAATAATCAGGATCTTTCACAAGAATGCTATAATATATTATTTTAACTTAAGCAGGGATACCATTTCATAAAGATACCTGCAGAAAATGTTTATCTTACCTTTCAGCAGTAATCCCTGTGTAGATTAGCTTGGAAATAGAATTTACTAATATAATGAATGTTTTTTTTTCTTGAGTACAAGTCTCAGCTCATCTTACTTCATGGTAGATATGTATAGAATTGTATTTCTGATTGGTTCGTATTCAGAACATCAGACATCCAAAAATATAGAAAAGGTGAAAGAAATGTGATTACCATTGAGTCTGTGGAGATTCTTAGTCATCTGGGTCATAGTTGTCCCGTGCTTTTTCAAATGGCAACTGCACTGCTTTTTCCTTAAGAAAGAAAAACGACATTTTAAGAAGCTTCATCTAAGAAGCTTGACTGGTTACTATGACTACCGTTAACCACTGTATCTATAGACTGTGCTGATTTACTTAACTATACTCTATATGTTAAAAGTGGGGAGGAAAAATAAGATTTATTCATTTGTTTATTACATTTTTATGCTGCCCATCTCCCCTATAAGGTGAGTGGTTGGGTGGCTTTTAATGTTAAAAAATAAGATTAAATGAAAGTTTTTTTAAAGAAATGGGGATGATCTGTTTACATGCTTACAAATTAAATTCCTATAATATTTTGAAACAAAAAAATGAAAATGATAATAAAGTTAAACATGTTGTATTTAAGAGATCAAACTGTTTGCCTGACTTGTTAGGTGCAGCAAGCATTAGTATCTGCTTGTTAATCTCCTGAGGTTTACTTTTAAGAGGCAAGGAGACAAACCTCAAGAGTTTTTATTTGGCTAAACCAATTCCATGAAACAGAAAAGTATATTAAACTGAATAGCACAGCTGGAATTAACAAATGGTATCATACGATCTTATTAAAAGAATAAAGGAAATTTGTTTTAAAAGCCCAGTTTGAAATTAACTTGAAATTGTATGGTTAATGGAGATTTCCAAAGCCATGTTTGTAGTTAATATTTTGCACTATACTCAGGAAGACACAAAGGTGCCAACTGATGAGATTCTTCTTGGATAGTTATTTACCTGTGACTTTTTGTCAAGACATTCTCAGTGAATTGAAAGCTTCCTATAAATCTAAATTGATGGTTATATCTCAGTTCTGATTTTGATTACGTGCCATTACTTCAGACCCCCCAACCAAAAAAAAAACCTGGTCCTTCAGCTCTTCCAATAGTAACTCTTGGTAGCTGTCCTATTGTAAGTGAGTCAGTAGTGAATTTTTATTTGTCATGGGTCCATTTAAACCTTTATTCCTGTATAACAACACCAACAATAATATAACACAAGGGTAAACTTAAATTTCATATTTTTACAAATAAAAGTGTTTTTTGCTATTTTACCTTTCATTACCAGGTTGTATACATAACAGCAACATTTCCATTCGTCATGCTTTTGGTACTCTTAATCCGTGGTGTCACTTTACCTGGAGCTGCAGAGGGCATCAAATTTTACCTTTATCCGGACATCACTCGTCTGTCCGATCCAATGGTGAGTTGCTAAAAATAGGAGATAGTGATAACTTCTTCCCTATATACTCTGGAACAAAATGCATGGAGGGCAATGGGTTCATGCTGCAGATTTACTGATTACTTGACCAATCTATACTTAACTGAAGTTTTCTACTGTGGTTCAGTTTTCCATTTTATCTTGTCAAAAAAAGCTATTATTAACATGTTAATGTATTTCCCATGTGTGTATATCTTTTTGTATCAAAAGGATTCTGAGGCTTGTAGACTCTATCCAAATATAGCATCTCAGCTTTTTTGTTGGTATTAGTCTGTGGACAAGGTAAGGGAAATAATTTGCTTCAGTCTTTAGTTAAATTCGTGGAGCAGCAGAAGGAACGGTAAGAAGCACTTGTGAGTATTTTCAACTGTCCACTTATAGGGACGTTCCCTGGGAGGGCAGCTAAAGACCATATTATAACTACAGTGGGAAAGAATTTTTTTTTTAAGTGACCCACTTGCTCTTTCTTATAAATGCTTGGAAACATTTTTTCTCTCTAATGTACAGGAACCCAGGTTGATTGCTTTTGTTTTACTATGTATGAACCTTTTCAACGCCTTACAGATTGCATGTTAGAATGTGTTGTAGTAGACAGTCACAAGATCTGTTTCCTAAATCTGGGGAAATGCAAAGCTGCCTATTCAAAAGGGGGAAAAAATGAAAGTAGGAAATAGGCAGAATCAGATTTAAGGATGCAAAGCAGCCTAAATGCTACAAGGCAAATGGAAATGCTATTGGGTACTATCCATCTCTAGTGTTATCGCAGCGTGCTTAAAGTTATATAAAAACCACAAGGGTTCCTAAAAAGCTACTGCCACTCTCCCTTTTAAAGGCTTGGGGCAATTGTATATCAGCCTACTTAGATTAGAATATCTGATTGTCCATGGCTGCATGTAAGTAAAAAATAACAAGGTTGGGATGACTATAATTCCTTTAAAAGTATGGAGTCCATGAAATGCAAGCTCTTCTCAAAATTTTTTTATATATAAATGTTCTTTTATTTCTGTTTTGTTTTTGTCTGCAAACGTGAAACTTTTTATTTATATCTATGAACGTATGCTCTTGTTTAAACTGTTCTTTCTTTAAGTTAATTTTCATACAATAATGTTGTGATATGCTATATGTAATATGATTAACTTTGGTCAATGCAGCATGGTTATGTTGTTAGCAACTGCTAGTCTTATTGAAGCAATACTGTTATGATAATATTATTTTCAAGAGAGAAGAAAAGTCTGGATAGCTAATAGCTAAAACTGATGCCAAGCACCATCTTCTGACCTTGTTGTTTTTCATGTTTTCCTTAGGTCTGGATAGATGCTGGCACACAGATCTTCTTCTCCTATGCAATCTGCTTAGGTGCAATGACTTCACTGGGGAGCTACAACAAATACAAATACAACTGTTACAGGCAAGTTTCCTACCAAAGGGGATTAGTCTGTTAGCTAATTGATGTGTAAGGAACCATGGGTTCAAATTTTCCTTTAATTAATTTCCTCCATGACATATGTGTGACATAGGGACTGTTTGCTGCTGGGATGCCTGAACAGTGGTACCAGTTTTGTGTCTGGCTTCGCAATTTTTTCCGTCCTGGGCTTCATGGCACAAGAGCAAGGGGTGGACATTGCTGATGTGGCAGAGTCAGGTACGATGGTATTGGTGGCAGTGATGGTGGGCACTGCCATCCAGTGTGTGAGCAAAGTTCAACAAGCTAAATCATCCCAAAACTCAAAAGGAGAAAAAAAAAGATTTTAAAAAAATAAAAGGTATTTCAGCAAACCAAGTAATGATTTATTTCACTGAGTAGTACAGTTTGAAATGCACTCTTTAAAAATGCGCTGAAATACAATACGGACTTTGAACGCTCAGAACTAAACCAGAATTGTAGGAAATGTCAATAATGTATGAAGAGGTGACCCTTTGGGGCTTACTCTGCCTTAGCTTCAATGAAATCTCTAATAGACATCGTTCTACAATATCCATGGACCCACCATCTTATTCGAAACTATGCTAGAAAATTTGAGTTGTGGCTTTTGGAACTGCAGCTTATGTATTTTTAAACAAAACATTGATGGAATTGATGAAGTTTGTAACAAAGTGGTTCAAAGAAAAGGGGGGTGAGAGGGAAAAGATAATCTTCCCTGTCACACCTTGCCTGGATTTTAGTATGTGAAGTTAGATTAGCCAGTCCGTCTTCCCTAGTTACACTACTGTATCTGTGTGTCTAAGGCAATGTGCCATGCATATTTCCAGATGTGGAAGTCATACAGGGATACATCTCTCTATATATTTTCTTTTCATTGTGTTTGTAAAATATTTTAAAGCTAAGCTTTCTGTATTCTGAAAGGACAGGCCCCTACTTATTTCTTTTGAACAAAGCATGCAAATTTTTTTGGACTTCCCTAAAGCATTTGCACAGTTGACATTAAGACATGCTGGACCAGATGCTCAAGTTTATTGCACAATCTACTGAAATCTATAGTGCTAAGACTCTCTGACAGCAATTTGGGCACAGGAGTACAGCAAATAGTAAAAAAAAGTGTCTTTCCGAATTGGAGAGGTTTTTATTGGCCATCAATGGTTACTGCCCAAGTTATGTATTTTATTCACCTGCCTCATACAGATCTGGAAGAGTCTTAATTGCTTAAAAAGGTATAAATGTGAATCAGCCATTAAAAGGCTGTATCTAATGTAAATAAGGACACAGTGGCTCAGTGGCTAAGACGCTGAGCTTGTCGATCAGAAAGGTTGGCAGTTTGACAGTTCGAATCACTAGTGCCACATAACAGAGTGAGCTCCCATTACTTGTCCCAGCTTCTGCCAACCCAGCAGTTCGAAAGCATGTAAAAATGCAAGTAGAAAAATAGAAACCACCTTTGGTGGGAAGATAACAGCGTTCCGTGCATTTAGTCATGCCGGCCACTTGACCACAGAGATGTCTTTGGACAGCACTGGCTCTTCGGCTTTGAAACGGAGATGAGCACCACCCCATGGAGTTGGGAATGACTAGCACATATGTGCGAGGGGAATCTTTATCTTTATCTAACGTAATGTACAGCCAAATTGGCAGAAAAAAAGTTTTCGAGGCAGGTACTGTGCGGAAAGCAACCTCATATTGTTTTGTGTAACAAATTGGGAATCATTTCCTGGTGATAAGGAATGGCAGTAAGAATTGTATACTTAATTTCAAATTTGTATTTCTGCTGTAATTATATATTTCCTAGCGCTCTTTGTGCTTTGAAAATGGTGCAGGCCTGGCATAGCACTTCTCTGCTCTGCCTTAAAGCTGCCAGAAAGATGCTGCTGTTGCTTAGACAAGCCACTTCATTAAAAGGAATGCAATTCCTCCTCAAGGAGGGTCATGTTCTCCCCCCCCCACCAAACTGGCACTAAAGTCAGGCTGCTTTAATGAATAATAAAGAGGTGGTGCACTTGTGTTGGGACAAAAGCCCAAAGCATGCATACCTCTGATACTCAATCCTGGAAAATGTAGGAGCTGATGGGGCGGTTAATGTACTTTAATCTTCAATGCAATACAAAGCTAGGCTTACTTAACTCTATTGATTTCAGTTAGTTTACACATTCTTAAGGCAGCAGTCTTGTGCAGTCTAACTCGGGACTAAGCCCTGCTGGTCACAGTAAGACTTAATTCTGAGTAAGCATGCATATAGGATTATGCTGTACCTCTGGAATGGCAGCCTTTGTTTATGAAATTTTGCATGCCTTATTCAATCATCCCACTGAACATAATTTCTATGAAGAGTTAACAAGGCTATATTGATAACTATGTTAAATGAGACCTTTAGTTTCAATGGGATTTAGGGTTAGACAGGATTTCAACTAAAACAGCTTAATGAAATAATTAATACACTGTAAAATAAATAAGTGAACAATAAAATTGAATAGCATGGACCTTATGTGAAATTGGGCCATCTTAGTTATGAATCCAGGTTACTAGAACGTTTTGGCTCTTAACATACATCCACGGATGTATAGATGGAAAGGTTTTGTCAAACAGCATATTTGTTGGATCACAGAAGAAAATAATGACCATATGTGATCTTTCATCCAGCAGAATATTTATGATTACTTTAGCAATGCATAATGCAAGCAGGATTGGGCCCCAAAGTTTCAATCTAAATAAAGTAAATTGAATCTCTTTTCTATTACAATCAATGAGATAGCTGTAGTTAAACACTTATTAATTTAAATTAGGAAAGTGCAGTTAATATGTTCTGGGAAGTTAAAGTTTTTAGCATATTTTTGCATCTTTCTAAATATATATTCTGTTAAACTGAATGGAAAATAGAAGATGGCAAAAGTATACCTGGTGAGTAGCCAGGTACTATTTCATAGGGCATACTTTCCAGTTTAAAATATGGAAGAAAAGCAAAAGAACAATAAACAGAAATATCTTAGTCCAACTTAAACAAAAAACTTGCATGAAAAATGTTGGTGCAGTATTTTCCCATAATGGTTAAAGTATCCGTTTTAAATAAATACAAGCATATTTCAACTCTTTATTGTACCTGAATTAAAGGGCCCCAATATAAAATGATAATTATCTCACATAACTATTATAGAATTGTGGCTGTTTGGGGTTTTTATTGAATAATCCACAGAGAAAGCAATAAAAAATATACTATTGACTTTGCTGTTGATAATCTTATTTGAAGGACAGATCTTCAGATAAGCATTTGTTGCTTTGTATCCTAAGCAAATAATACTCACTGGCTATGTTAGATATCTGCAAATGGGTTTATTATTGCTGTATTGAGAGAATTTACTGATATCATTTGGCAGTCAATTGTAACCAAAGATGGATTCTATTTGGAATATTCTCCCAAGCCATTACTATCTTCTAATAGAAGCTGTTACATCATTTCCTTTGTTTCTATATTTAAACACAGTATTACGTGATATTAATAGAATTCTGGAGTTTTACACCACTTCAGGATCTTTGCCTTCTCTGGCGTAAATCCTTTGTTTGTCCCAAGGAAAAAGTAGTGCATGAGTAACCCAAGAAAAATTAAGAGCCAAGGATTTTTTTTCTCTCTTTAAAGATCATAGAAATTAGTCATGCAATAATTGTATCCCATTTAGTTCTTAAGCTGTCTTTCTGAATGGAGTGTGCTGGGTTCTGCTTTTTTTTTTCCATTTACCTTTTAGATTGGAGCTGGTAATAACCACGCATGCTTCTTTGTCAGATAGAATGAATTCCTTACTGGAATCCTCAGTTGGGTTTGGGTTGATCTGAATGGAATCAGGAAAACTTATGAGGGTGGGGGGAGGTTTTCATTCAGAAATGAATTAAATACTTACTATGTTGTCTCCCTTTTCCCCCTTCCTTTCTCTCTCTTTTTATTCCTCTAGGTCCAGGTCTGGCTTTCATTGCTTATCCAAAAGCTGTGTCCATGATGCCGCTGCCAACTTTTTGGGCTATTCTTTTCTTTGTTATGCTTCTGTTGCTTGGCCTGGACAGCCAGGTGAGTAAGTGGTAGTAAATGTAATATCTATGGTTTTTAATAGGAAAATCTGTACATAAATATAATTATTGTTATTTCACTTTTTGCTTTGGAGCATTGATCCATAAAAGAATCACTTGTCTTTCTTCCTACTAAGATTAATTAAGAAAAGTGGCATTGTTATTCATTAACTGCCTCTTATCATGACGTTTCAGCATAGATTTTATAATAGGAAATGGGAGGTACTAGTGGAGTTCTGAGCATTTTGGGAGGTGATTACAAAATGACTATAGGCAAGCACACAAAATGCCTACACACAAAGCAGATCAGTTAATTTTCAAATGCCTACCTTGGGGGCGGGGAGCAAAACTAGTTACAAAACACCAGTTTGGTATAAAGGTGCCTACTATCCTCTCTAGTTTCTGCCTTTGCTTAGAGCACAGGTGTCATGTCAATCGATTGTGTCATGTGATACAGTGTGACATATTGCAATGTTTTTTGCCTTTGCGGAGCCAGGGTGGGCATGGCCTGTGCATGATGCATCAAGCTCGCGGGCAACCAGTTTGACAGGCCTGGCTTAGAGCAAGCATACTGGCATGCCTTTATTTACCCCTTTTAACTCTACTTATTTCTACTCTTTGTTGGAATAATTGATGCAGCTTCAAAACAAAGTGTTAAAGCTAATAACATTAGAAATAAGATATGGAAGCTGAAGCTTTATTTCCTTCCTGCCGTCCTGCATGTAAATACAATTAAAATAATCTAAACTTTAGAAAAAGACACAGGAAGTGTAAAATCCAACAGGGATGTGGGACCCTGGGTGTCACACTGGAGATCTTACCTCCACAATATAAATAGTTTTTATTACTGTATATTTTGCAATGCGTACACATATTTAATTATAAAAAGATACTTCTTTAAAAACAGCACCCAAACTCTATTAAAGGATAGACTAGCCTGAAAAGTGTCACTTACATTGGAATGTGCGGTCAGTATAATTTCCTCCTCCCCTTCTTCAAGCCTATCAATTTGTCAGAAATGTGCTTATTTCTCATACTCTTTGTCACTTCCTTGGTCCATTTCTGCCTTTATGTATTTGCTTCTCAAAATGTTTATGTAATTCCAAAGGAATGGGAGTAAAACTCAGAATAAAAATGGAGATGGCCTTAGGTTGCTCTTCTTGTAGCTATATAACTCAGAAGCCTTGATATATGTGAATCAGTGTTCCCAAATACACTAGATATTTTTGCCTGTCCTCAGCAATTTGTTTTCTGGGAAACTGAGCAAGGGAGACCTTGTTTTCCTTCCCTCTCAAGGCCTTTTTGTGGGACACAAAGAAATCTGTTAATAATCTCCAGAATATTACAAGTCACACAGCTGTCCTAGGATTTTAGAGAGGACTTCTTTGAAATGGCTTAAGATTTTAAGCCAACAAGCTCCTAATTGTTATTTGGGAAAATAGTTAAAATGTTGCATTAATCTACTAGCCTGGGACAGAAACTTTTACTGAATTCAAAATCTTCTCATATGAGTGGAGATTAAAAGAATTTTCCCTCTGGTTGTTATTTACTTAATCTCATAATTTGGCAAAGCATTTCATTTGTTCTAAATGGTTTTGGGGGGCTTAATCTTTGAATGCTAGTGAGTGACTTTTAATCACTTCCAAATTGAATGTTCAGACCTCCTTAGAGCTGTGGTTCGGCAACCAAGTACTTATGTAAATTAAAGGTTGCCTGGTAATGTTCAGTCATTTCAGTTCAAGCTCACTGTGTCAAATAATTAAAGCTAATTGGAGCACTTAATGTTTTGTTTGCTTTTGGAGCCATGTCAAGCTGGATTTTGGAATGCTACAGCAGTTTAGGACCAAGCTGGATACAGTTACATGGCAGGAGAAAAAGAAAGTCACAATTTCTTAAGGGCTAAGACCCGAGATTTCTAAGGATTATTAAAAAGCTATACAAAGCCAAATGGTGATTGGTTGTAGAAACAAATGTGAAATTAAGGGCAATAAGGGAATATGCTCACTTTAATAAAATAATTAACAAAAAAAAATGCAAGTCATGAAAAAATGTCAGCTCACAAAAGCATTTTAGAACTGCCTATGTGATAATTGCTTACTTTTTTATAAGTGTGATACTAAACTTCTCTGTAAAGTGTGGTTTATTATTAAATTATTTATATGAATAGATAGAACATTTACTTAAAAAAAAAGAACCACATAAATCTCTGGAGGGTTCTTTTTACCCAGTACATAAAGGTAGTTTATTTTTACTAACAAAACAAAACAAAAGCTAAAAGATTTCATATTTTTAAAAGAGTGGGTTTTTTTTTTTAAAAAAAAGGGCATGTATACATACTTACATTTATGTGTATATTCATAGATAATTGGATGAACATTTTGAGCACCTACATTCCATACTTCCTCCTAGTACTAAATTTTATTTTCCTAATAATGGCTTTTGTTGTTATTGCCTATCTTGCTTTTTGTGTGTGTGTGTGTGTATAGATAGATATACACACACACACATACACACATATGTTGGTCTTGTTGTATTCGGGTCTTTTCTTGTGCAAGATTGCAACAATCTGAACTGAATATAACAAGACCAGCATACCTACACCTGTGAAAATCTATGAAAACAAATCTTTTCTATATATCTATATCTATATCATCTATCTATCTATCTATCTATCTATCTATCTATCTATCTATCTATCTATCTATCTATCTATCTATCTCCATTTTATTAAAACAATATAGTTAATTAGAAGAGTGGGACAACTAGAATTATCTTAAAGCTTTAATATGTTTGGATTTACAAAGAGTATTCATATGCAGCATTTGTACAGCTAGTCCTCAATTTATAACCCCTTGCTTAGTGACCAAAGTTACAACATCACTGAAAAAAGTGACTTATGATTGTTTTCCACACTCATGACCATTGCAGCATCTCCATGGTCATGTGATCAAAATTCAGACACTTGGCATGTATTTATGTTTGCAGTGTCCTGGGGTCATATACCTTTTGCAAACTTCTGACAAGCAAAGTCAATGGGGAAACCGGATTCACTTAGCAACTGCAGTGAATACTTAACAACTGTGTCAAGAAAGATTATAAAATGGGACAAAACTCATTTAACAACTGTCTTGTTTAGCAATGGCAATTTTGTGCTCATTTGGGTTTATAAATAGAGGACTACCTGCACCCCCTAAAATTTTCCTTTCATTTAACATCTCACCATGATTTATATTAAATTTTTAGTAAGGAAAATGGAAACCAGCTTTCTTAAATCTACAGTTGAAAGGGCTGCATGAAAATAAGGTTTTTTTTTTCATAGAACTCCTTATCTGAGGATGTCTGATTCATGCTAGAAAGAAAGAAAAGGGTAGAAATATTTGTCAAGAAATTATGAAAACATACTGGCATGCAGGCACTACAGGGAAAACAGTTTATCAAGTTCCTTCCAAGAATTACTTGGTTTTACCCTGGAGTGTTTACAAACAGTCCTACCTCTTTACTGTTTTGTTTCTCCTTTTATCTATAAGTTTGATGCTTACAGTAAATGAACTCAAATCTAATTAGGAAGTGAAAGGGAAATCAGTAAACCTGCTAAAAGATCATTATCAGCTCCAGTCTTGAAATATTGAAACATTAAATATGGTACTATGTAAATAAATGATGAATACTAACTCTTTTATAAGGGATACATATTTATACAAGAGTAAAATAATACATTGCATTAACCCACTCATTTTATTATTCTCCCCTACAGTTTGTTGAAGTTGAAGGGCAGATCACATCGTTAGTTGATCTGTACCCATCCTTCCTAAGGAAGGGTTACCGACGGGAAATCTTCATTGCTATAATCTGTTTCCTCAGCTATCTTCTGGGACTAACTATGGTGACTGAAGTAAGGAATTGCCTGGTGTTGCTTTTCTTCTTTTTTTCTATTCAAGGAAGTTACAATGCAAGGAGACACCTTAGCATAATGGTAAAACAAGTGCTTTGCACAAGGAAGCTCCCAGGAAATGCTCCTTGCATCTTTATTTAAAATGATTGGGTGTTGTGAAGCACGTATTCTGCCTGAAAAACCTGGAGAGCTTCTGACCAAGTAAACAGGAGAGAAAGAGAGAATTATTCAAAGAAATCACTCTGCAAACAATTTGTACTATCTTTTAAATTTAGGACATGTTCCAATCTTGCCTCAAACGTCGATTCAAACATTATAGTGTTACTTCTGCTTTGATGAAACGTATTTATGCAAGACTATAATCAACTGTGCAATATACTACATTTTTGCGTGTGAAATAGATATAAAAAGAAGCTAATTAAACATAAAACATGTGGGAGATGATGTCTATCTCATATTCAGAATGTTGTAACATGGCATTCTAGATAATGCTATGCCTGAAAGAAAATATCATGTTTTAAGAAAAGAAATCCATCATCCTTATATTAGACAACTCTTGGTGAGTTTTACCTAAGTATTATCTTCAAGACTCAATTGTCTTCAAGATTCATTTCCTTCCTTCCATCATGTTTCTTTAAGTGTTTCCCTAAAAAAAACACCACAGTTTAAGCAGCAGTGTTGGAATTGTGTTAGCCAAGTGGTTTAATTTTATTCAGTCATCTTTCAAAATGCCTTCTAGAATAAAAAAAAAGTGTAGGTTTGAGGAAGTACATGAATATATACTTTTTCATGTCCAAAGAGTTGACCGGCAATTGTGTTTGCTGGCAGAAAATTTTGTGAACAGCTAGTTAAAAGATATACAAACACTGTTTTTTTTACGACGCATGTTTCATATGTATCTTTGTGTTGGTGTATTAATATCAGCCGGGGTTTCTTTTTTTGTCCTTTTTCAGGGTGGCATGTATGTGTTTCAACTCTTTGACTACTATGCAGCTAGTGGTGTATGCCTTTTGTGGGTCGCATTCTTTGAATGCATTGCTGTAGCCTGGGTTTATGGTAAGTTGAAAGTTAAGTTCTGATCTGACCATTGCCTAACAGCAGCACTGAAAGCTACAGAGATCTTGCAACACTGTAATATAGTTCCTAGAGACAAACTGAATAGAGGATAGAGGAAAGATAGAGTGATGAAACCTTACAGGCTAAGGAAGGAATTTTATTACATGGCTTCTCTGCATACTGGGGATTCAGCCAAGTACTTCAAACTTCTTGGAAAACATTCTCACTTGACCTCCAAGAAATAAGTTCATTGCTTTCCTCTTTCTTGTAATGGTTCATTTTGAGGCTGTAAAAGTATGCCTGACCTTCTGAAGTCATAAAAAACCCACAGTTTCCCCACCCCCCTTGCTTTTATCTGCTTGGTACAAATAAGGAAATGTATTTATAGAATAATTTAAGTAGCAATGTGCTGACTGTATAATGCCATCACTTTTATTTCACAATATCCGATTAGTTGTATCAAGGCCCTTTCCAAATTTAAGAACACCAAAGCTCAGGAGAACAAAAGTGTAGAAGACAAAGCAAAAAAATAAAGGCTTTTATGGAGCTTTTCACACTCACAACACAATAAATGCATTTCTCATTGAAAATCTAGCATAGATGTAGAGCACACATAGGCAGAAAATGCAGAGTAATACAATTACTTTCTTCTGTGCTGAAACTCTAGGCGCTGACAATTTTTACGATGCCATTGAAGATATGATTGGTTACAGGCCTGGTCCTTGGATGAAATGGAGCTGGATTCTAATCACACCAATTCTCTGCGTGGTAAGGGTGGACATGTCTTTGCCTAAGAACATGACTTGATTTAGAACTTTTGTAAGTTTAGTTAGATTTTGTTTCTTGTATTGCCCGAAAAGAAATAAGAGTGAATAGGTCGGTGTTTAGTGAGTAATGTGTAAACTCTTCATTGATTGCAAGATTTTTACTGACCTGTAACTAGCTTCTGTAGCTGACATTAAAGGAGCAATTTTGAGGTGAAGGATGGGTTCATCTAAAATTTTGAGAACATGTAGATAATAATATCCATACTGAATGGTTGGTAGGCATTGTTTTATTTACTAACTGGCTACCACTGTGACCCAAGTACTGTGTCGTATTGCACAGGCTAACTCTGTCCACAGCCTAAGTTTGTTCCTGATGGGCTTAAGGTTGACTCAGCCTTCCATCTTTCTAAGGTCTGTAAAATGAGGAACCAGATTTGTGGGGAGGGGGGAGGAATATGCTGACATTATAAACTGCCAGAGAAAGAGGGCTGTAAAACACTATGGAGGTATGTATAAGTCTATATGCTGTTGCTATTAGTATTTTGTTCTGCTTTTTTTCTGGATAGGTTGGCCATTTCCAAACAAAATACTGGAATGTGGCTACCTACTACTTTTTTTTTTTAGCTCAGCCAGGCATTAGACTTATGCCTATTTGTTAAAAACATCCTTTGCCCCAAATGCAATAGAACAGCTGAGTAGATCAGGTGGTGTGTTATGCAACTCAAGGTAAAGACAAACAGGCAGTGTTATGGACATATAAAAGACCTTTCTTCTTTGCAGTGTGTGGTAACACAATTCAAGTTAATTTTCATGCTTTACTGCACACCATAATTATTTATATTTGCTGCGAAACTTGAATATTGAAGGAACCATGAAAAGAAAACTGGCTTACTGGACTTCTTGTTTGAAATTCCTGTGGCACAACCCTGAGTTTTAAAGTACAATTTAATGAACATTTTCCCTTCCCATTTAAAGATTAATTCGTTCCTAAGCTTTTGCAAGGGTTAGAGAGGTCCGTTCAGAGCAGGGGTGGGTTGCTACTGGCAGTACTTTACAAAAGGGGGAAAAAATGAATTTCTGCAATGAAGATTGTTCTGCACATGTGCAGAACTGAAAATCAAGATGGCGCCGGCGCTGATAGAGCTGGCTCGGGGGCGTGGCAGGCTGAGTTACTACCTACTCAGCTGAACTGGTAGGAACCCACCTATAGTTCAAAGGCCCAATACTTTAAAGAAATACAGCTATCTATACGAAGATAAACAGACTATGAAGACTTAGGAATCAAAAAAAGACATCCCCCCCCCAAAAAAAAACCCTCTGTCCTTGAAAAAAAAGTTTATTGTCAACTTCAGTTTCCTTTTATTAGTTTAAACATTGATAATGTAAATCAAAGCTAAGTAATTCTTAACAGTATTTGGGAACTAAGGCCACAATAGATAGGGTCATGAAGTAAAGGGGGAGGGGCCAAGATTTTCACACTTTTCTTTGGCGTTTGGCTTATTTTAGAGTTTTACATTATCATTCACCTCTATTTTATCCCTCAAAAATTATGTTGATTTCAACAAACCTAATTTAAAGGGATCCAGGCAGCCACTGAAAGGTGTTTGAAAGGCTGTGGGTTGCTCATTCTATTGTATAAATTGTTTATTGAAGAAAGCATAATTGTTTCCTTGTGCTTGAATCTCTTTTTGCGTTTTTTTCCTTCTCCTCTGACACAGGGGTGCTTCATATTTTCTTTAGTCAAGTATACCCCCCTGACCTACAACAAGGTCTACATCTACCCTACATGGGCAATCGGTCTGGGTTGGATACTTGCTCTTTCATCTATGATCTGCATCCCATTGGTTACAGTTATCCGTATCCTGCAGTCGGATGGCTCTCTCCTTGAGGTAAATCCAAAACAACTATCAGAACTTTTAAGCATCCAAACAGATGATTTTCTTAGCAGCTGTCTTCCTGATCCCTTAGTGCAGCAGTTCATCCAGGGCCTGCATGTTGTTTCTATAGCCCCAAAGATGTTCTCAGTCATTCATTTCAGCAAATTAGGTTATTTTTACAGGCGCTGTTTTGATACATTTTTTAGTTTGTTTCTGTATTGAATAGAACAAGACAAGATTTGGTACAATTTTAAAACATCTGTCTTCCAGAGGTGGATTGCTGCCGGTTCGCACTGAACCGGTACCAAACCGGTAGTAGTGGCAGAGCATAAAAAATTTGGAAAACCCCCACTGCTGTCTTCTGATCATATTCACATACTAGAAAAGATTGCTGAAACAAATTCAGCAGCTGGTTAGTTGGAAAATAGAATTCAGACAAGAGAGTTTAAAGATTGGTATGCTGCTTAAATGAACAAATGATTTGTATCACTAGAATTGTAAACGTTCTAGCCCAGATTATTTTCCTAAAGCAGAGACACTAAACTTTTTCAGTCTTGATAGCATCTTTGTCCTACACTGAGATAATGTCTATTATTTTTTGGAACTCATAGCAAGGCAGGACCGTGATGTAGAACTTTATCCAATAATCATTGCTTGACTTTTGCACTATATTTTCTCATATAAAGAACATTACAGAAAAAGTAGTTGAGTATATAGTGTCATAAAATCAACGTGCAAAAATATATAGAGGGAATATACAGTTATATAGAAGCTAATCATTTATTTGCTTTGTATGTTCTGAAGTCAATTTGTATCCTTTCAACTTCCTGAACAAATCATGAATTTCCTCAACAACATTTGCTTCATGACCCAGCTGGTTTCACACCTAGGACTGACTGGAACTCACAGACTTCCAGTTTCTAGCCTGGAGTCCTTATACCACCATACTAGCCTGATTCATTTATATAGGAGCTAGTCATGGAGTCACGGAAAATTTAGGATAAATTTTGACAGTAGATGTCAAAAAGATTTCCAAGGTCAGCACATCTCCCCTCATGCACACTCCATAAAAGTTGCACATTTCATTTGTATCCTGCACAGAGTGGAAGAAGCTAATTCATTAGCTACAATATTGAGTTTGGGAGCCACCTAGTGGAAATGTAATAATCTTCCTTGCATTACTTTTCTAATTGGTCTCCCCTTTTTACACACTGTACAGTTTCCTAATGATAAGATCAGTTTTCTCATCCCAGCCTGGAAATGGGTTATCTTGTAGACAGTGGCTTTTGGGCTCAAACCATATCCAATCCATCATCTATAAATAAATTGTTTGATAATGGTCACACTTGGCTTAATTAAGCATGTGAATCAAAATCCTTCTGCTATTTGAAGTGTGTGATTATAAAGTAAGGAAAGCGCCTTATCCAACCTCTTGCTCTATTTCCCCAATGGATAGTCAGTCAATTGGAAATTCATAAAGAGAACAATTTTAAAATAGTTACTTTAACCAAATTGAAATGGTACTTCTTGGCTTGCAAGGAAAGAATAGAATAGAATAGAATTTTATTATTTGTATGCCGCGAACAATTCAAGGGGGAAAAAGGGGAACATAAAAAAACAAAATACAAATAGTAAAAGTAAACAACAGTCGCACAACCATACATGTCGAGAGGGGAGGGAACTCATCACCCCCAGGCCTGCCAGCAAAGCCAGGTTTTGACGGCTTTTCGGAAGGCCTGGAGAGAGGTGAGGGTCCGAATCCTGCAGGGAGTTCATTCCAGAGGGCCGGAGCTGCCACAGAGAAGGCCCTCCCCCGGGTAATAGCCAGGTGGCATTGGCTGGTAGATGGCACCCGGAGGAGGCCAACCCTGTGAGATCTAATGGGTCTGTGGGAGGTAATTGGCAGCAGGCGGTCTCTCAAGTACCCAGATCCAATACCATGAAGGGCTTTATAAGTTACGACTAGCACCTTGAAGCGTATCCGGAGACTGATCGGTAACCAGTGCAGCTCACAGAGGATAGGTGTAACGTGGGTGTACCGAGGTGCACCCATAATCGCTCGCGCGGCTGCGTTCTGGACGAGTTGAAGTCTCCGAATATTCTTCAAGGGCTGCCCCATGTAGAGCGCATTGCAGTAGTAACAACTTCTCTTATTCCATTTCATGGTAAATAGCTGTCATGTTTAATAATATGCAGAGTACTTTTTGGAAGGGAACATCCCTATGCAGCTTACTAAAGCAGCCATGTCTTTTTCATAGTGGTGTGAATTTGGAAAAAGCAACAGCCAATAATTACCACATTTAAACTTTGCTATATTCCCAAGTACCTCTTCCTATTGAATCCAAAATAGATAACCTTCTGAATATTTAATATAGGCTTGGCCTCCATAAATTTGTCTGGAAGTTTCTTCATTTCCATGTACACATTTCTCCCCAGAGGATAAAGACAATGGCTGCTCCTCGTGAGATCACGCGGTGGGACAAAGAAACAGAGGTTGCTGCCACGTTCGGCCCTCCTGGCCTGGCCAACGGAGAACTGATCAAGCCAAGTCATGTCATCGTGGAGACAACAATGTGAGCTCTCTCTATGAGAGGAGGACACCTGCTTTAAAACTGCTGTTTACTAACCATAGAATCTTTCATAGGACCAGGTTTACAGAGCTTTATATTTGCACTAGGGTTATTTTTATTTCTCATAGAGAAAAGTAATTTTTTTGTGTGTTTGGTTTTTATTTTTTAATATTTTGTAAAGTAAATCACAGCAGATGGCTGTCCTGCTCTATTTAGAAACAGAGCTTTCATATCAAATTAGGCACACTGCAGGAATTTATCTTCTATTTTTCCACACAGCATATCTAACTAACTTTTATTCATACGGCTACTTTACCATTTTTAGTTGATTTTTCTTGCCAACAATATACCCAGGCGCAATCCTATGCATACTATCTTGCAAATATGCCTCAATAACCTAATGGGACTTACGTCTGGGTAGACATATGTAAGATTGTGCTGATATGTATACATACATGTGCACGTATACAAGTTTTAGGTTTCTCTGGGTGTTGATATGGTTGGGGACAGGGTATTGCAAAGTTTTATTTTGGACTTTTTTTTAACCAAAAAGGAAAAAAAAAAAAGCTCTGGCATTTTAGAAACTGGTTTTTAAGGTGTGGCACTATCTTCTTCTGGTAGAGACAGGAAAAATTAAAGAAAGTACATGTTTTTATGTTATGTGAGTGAGCCATGTGGCAATATATTTATGTGATAATTGGAAGCTGCAATATTGTAGCTGCAATTGTATGCCACCCAAAGTCATTTTTTTTTTGGTAAGATGGATGACCATGTAAATTTGATAAATTAATAAATATAAGATGGGGTTGGAACTAGGGGAATAATCTGAGCAGTTTGTGAATCAGGCTCTAAGAAGGTGGCAGAATCATTCTTGCTGGGAAGGCATTTTAACTGATAATCTTTTGGGGACAGAGGAGACTATTTCTTCCATCACCGGAGGAATTGATTCTACATTCATTAGCAAGGACAGTTTCTATGCAGACTTAAATACAGACTACGGTTGAGTTTCTCATAGATTTAGAGAGATTATCTAAGAGTTGATGTAAAATACTGGTAAGCCTGAATCTGTCACCTATTGTTATCTCAGTCTTAGACAGGAATATAAATATGATAGTGTAATCATGTAACTAAAGAATGTAACAACTGGCCCATTCTTGTAGTCTGCACCTGAGAAATAAGTCATTTGGACTTCGATTTTGTTAGAAAGTTAGGTTAGTGTTGGAAAACTCATTATATAATGGTACATTTACAAAGATGCTGCAAACCATATTTAAAGTCACAAATTTGCCAAACTTTATCTTTGTTAGAACGAAAAAAGGAATATTGGGCGTGTATCATAGCAGTCAGCTAAGTTGCATAGCGGTGAGTGCAGATGGAAAAAAACGTCAACTAGAACCTATCGATGAAGCTACTGAAACAAGAAATCACAGTGCAGTTGAGGAAAAGTAGACTGATATTCACAGGCTTAAACTGTCGTCATTTATATTGATCCAAGAAAACGCAAGCAGTTCAAGTAAGCTGTAAATTTATTTTAGACTGAACAAGGCATAAAATACTTAATGGGAATTGTATTGATAAGTTAAGTCCCCCACTTTTCCCAAAATGAGGATTTGCCTCTGGAAAAGTCACCCCGAATCCTGCAAAGCTTACGTTTTGTTTTCAATCTTCATTGAGTAGTGGCTCAATCCTTTTCCATATGGGCATTGATCTTGGGGGAAGGGTGCCCCCTTTAAGCTTTATATTGGTAGTAAACACAATTTGAGCAGGATTGTGAGCCAAAAATAGCAAAACCCCTTTCCTTTGTAATTGTCTGTCAATCAAGATACTGTAGTTGAAACTGGAACTTAGCCAGTATTTAAAAACATTCCTATATGCTTTAAGAAAAGGAAAGAAATTAAGAAACAGTTTATGTCTTATGTTCTCTATGGCCACTGCTTATGCATTATGCACATACTTGTTATGTTAGTTTTATATATATATATATAAATAAAAGAACTGTAAATAAAGGACCAAAACAGTTATTTCAGGTGTCTTGTTTAGCCGATATTTGTTTGTGGATGGAGTCTGTGATTTATTTTATTTGAGGGAACAGAGCTTGCAGTATATGCAGGTGGCCATGAACAGAACGCTTTGCTTTCTTGTTACCAAGAGCTGATAAGTAAACACTTCCAGAGTACAAATCCTTTGGAAATGTTTATCTTCATACTATACTGAAAAATGGCCAGTAAAAAGGTTAGTTACAGAAGAAGCAAGGAAGCCAAGAGAAGGCTACTGTTTGGCTTCGTTTTTTAATCCTGCAAAACCAAAGATGGCAGGGCATTGGTATTGCAAACCCCATTGCATTCCAGATTGGACTGCAGCAGCAAGAAATTAGGATGAAGGCAAGTCTTAACAGTTCGTTCCCTTTGACTTCCCTGGTGCATTTTACATGAAAGATAGTGCAATATTTTGCTAGTTTCAAGAACAGCCACTGAACCAAAAGCAGATATATCAACCAAGGGAATACCCTAAAGCACATAGCATGAGATGATGTTTTTCAAGAACAAACCAGAGAATCAGTCCCACACAGTAGACTTCCATCTAAGAAGAGTAGTACCGCACCCATTTCAAGGTTAAACTGTGCAATCAGAATCAGTTCTTTCCAACTCAAAAAGTAAACAGGTTTTCTAGTCATGACGTGAAGTCATGAAGGACTCTTACAAGAAAAAAAAAGTTAATCAAATTTTTGTCATCAGCCCATCAACCTTCATTTTTTTTGTTTCAAGGATCATATTTTCACATAGCAAAACTTGTGAATAATAGAATGTGTTATATCTGAATGTTAAGAATAGATTCTGCCAAATTAGGCCAATGGATGGGAGGGGGTGGGGGAGGGAAAACTATTAATCGTTTGTATTTTCTACTTATTTATGACTGCAAAAAGATTGTTTTTTTTTTCTAATTCACTTTGTAGAATTGTGTGGCCTATTTTATCCATTCTTTGTAATGAAGAAGTTAAATATCCAGTATTGTGACTAACTTGTGGGTGAACTGGTTTGGATATGGGGTGGGTGGGGATATTCTTAATGTTTATTCAAAGAAATTGTATTTCCCCCCAAAAAAGGGGTGGGGACTGGGAGGAACATTAGAGTGCAACCGTTCATTGTCATGGATGTATGGCTTGTTTTCTAAACTGCTCTAGATGTGTGTAAGGTTTAAAAAAAGGTTATAGCAGCATTAAATGGGCATTTGTTAGTCAAAACAGTTGGGCATAACTCTGTTTGCAACCAGCACAAGCTCTTTAGATGTCTGGAAATATTTCCTTCTCTTAGTCCAATCTTTCAAGCTGTCAACATTCTCATAAGTAACTATAGCACTAATGGAAGGTATGGTTAAATAATTGCATAACTAATTCACATTTCACAGTATATTGTCTTTAGATATTTGTTCTTGATTGCAATGAAACTAAACTTACTAGGCGGAGTAAGTATCAACCCAGCTGAAAACTTAGTGGAAATAAATTATTTGATCACTAACTGTTGAATGGCCATAGAAGCAAGAATAGAGATGTGACAAGAAGAGGAAGAACTGGAGGACAGGTGGTTTCTAATACAGGAAAACCTAAAATTCTGGCAGGCTTCCTTTTTTTTTGCTTTTGTTTTCATGAAATCTTCCTGTATTTACACAGATGTAAAGTACTAGGACAATAAGTGAAACCTGCTTTTGAGACAACATGGAAATACTAATGTTATAAAGGGAAAGTTTGAAGAAACTAGAAACATTTTGAAAATTTATGATTGACAAGTTTGCTATCCAGAGTCATTTGATGTGGACTGGCTTAATCAGTAAATAGATAAAACAGTGGTCATAGATTGCTTTAGCTAAGAGGGTGTAAGACCAGATTTTTTTTTAGTTAACACATCCACTCTTACTCCATAAACGCTTTATATGCACAATTGCTACAGATGTAGGCCAAAAATGAACCAAAAGTGATTGTCCACTGAAAAACAATCATAATACCCCAGAGGCACAATTTTTACGTAATTGAATGTTTATAGCAATTCAAAATTGAAACTCAACTTTTAGAAGTTTTTTTTTAATCTATCCTAAGCTGAAGTATCTTCCCTTGCTGGAAGGCAAATCAGGAACATCAGGACCCATTCAACACTTGATCAAAATATCTAGTTAAGTCATCAATCTCTATACTCCCCTAAATTTGCCCTTTGCTATATATAGCCACTGAGAGAATTCAAAGTCTTATACATATTAAGTAATCTTGATAAAACCTAAAGGACAGCTTTTGCAGGTGGTCTACCAAAAAGGATTACACTCTTAATGCTGATCACTTGGCAGGGAAAATGTAATTTTAGACAATCACACATAACCTTCTTACAGTTCCATCCTCGGCATTAGTATATTCCCTCTGCCCATGTCCAGTTCTGTATCCTGTTTAAAAGGAATAGCAGCCTGCCTAACCTGAATTTCATTTAAGCTAAACTACTCTGATTCTGCTATGCAGGAGAGGTGAGAAACGGAAAATGCAAGAGGCATGCTCTTTTTAGGCAAGAAAAAAAGGCCATGCACTTTATGAACCTAATATTCTTCTGAGACGTATATTTCTAGCTGTAGAATTAGATCAGAAACTTAGCTTCACACAATTGGATCCAAATCTTTGGAAGAGAATCAGTATTTTTCTACCAAAAATTGTGGCAAAAGGAAAATGATACATTATCTAAAAACAATAGAAGTTGACATTTGCAGATTTCAAAATACACACTGTGCAGGTTTGGCCAAAGAGAATACTTGTTCCAGAGATCTACGGGCTCATTCTAAACATGTACTTGCAAATAAGCCATACCATGTTCAGTGGAACTTCCTTTCTAGTGACTATGCTTAGGGCTAGAACCCTAAACTTACAGTTTGTGGCTGGGCTCAGGGAACATGCAGAAGATGTCTAACCCACATTTGCCGAGTCCTGGTCATTTCAGAAGCCAAGTGGACTAAAATAGCTGTCTTTCTGAACATCCTGTTCTAGACTGCATAGTTAACAAGCTCTCTTGGGAGCGAGAACTAGATTGCATAGTTAACAAGGTGTCTTGGGAGAAGAAAGAGGACTAACAAGCTCCCAAATGGCCCACTAATGATTCGCAACAAGCGTTACACAGCAACAGGCAGACAGTGACATTGTAGCCAAATCATGTTGAGTGGCTGTGACATTTGCTTGGAATGGAGAGAGTTGAGTTGTAAGTAACCAAATGGTAGCCTGAGATTGTTCACTAATGTCTCTCCCCACCGGACCTCAACCTGTCACTGCAGTACTCTTGATAAATTCATTGTTGTAATAGAACGTTCTTGTGTCATTACTGTAGTTGTGCTGTTGCAATCATGAAAAGAATGCCACTTCAGAGGTTTTATGGTTATAAAATAAGGCAGACATCTTTATTTCTACTGAAAATGTTGGTGTGCATTTTTAATTCTGTAAATCCACACTTATTACTAATGAGTACCTATGTGGATTAAGAGGACACTATCCTCTTTTTAAAAATATTTTTTAGAATAATTTTTTTAAAAAGATGTTTTAAAACTCATCATTGTTCCAGAAAGGAATATTTATATAGGAATAAGAATTTGGCTTGTATTCAGCCCTGAAAATTAGGTGTTTTTTGGTATATGTACACAGTAAATGTTTGTATTTTGCAGTTTTATCTGTTTTGCTTTTTAGATAAATGAAATGGGTATCAATATTTTAAAGTCATTTTGCTTTTCTAAGATGAGTTTGTAATCATTGCAAATAAACAATAAAAATCTTTCATGTATAAAGTGAACAAATCATTCTTGTGGGCTTTTTTCCTCTCCAAACTTTAATTAATTTTTATTCAGTATTTTATGTGTTAACCTAATTTATTATGTTGACCTGTTCTCTAAATGAACTACCTCTTACCACTTGTGAAAATTGACATTGAGCAAAGGAAGTGTTCCCATCTAATTTTTGCATGACTGTGATTCAGAAGAGGAATTAATTCATTGTGCTATGTGTTCTAAAAAAGGGCATTGCGAGAAGACACGTGAAATTGTTTCAATTTCCTTGAAAGGACACAGTCCAGGGTCGTTCTTACATGGAATATTTTGACATTTTCTCCAAAGGAGATAAAAAATGTATTGGACAAGGTTAAGGACTCTCCTTCAAGATGGAAAAAAGATATTGGCTAGTATTTTATCAGAGTCACTTTAGTCTAGTGGTGAAGGCACCAAGCTAAAAATCAGGAGACTGTGAGTTCTAGTCCCATCTTACCCATAAAGGCCAGCTGGGTGACCTTGGGCCAGCCATTCTGTCTCAGCCCAACTCCCTCACAAGGTAGTGGTTGTATGACAAATCAGAAAAGGTAGATAAAACTCATTGCCTTGAATTGTTTTGTGAAAAATAATAAAGGCAGGAAATACATAGTCTCCCAGACACCTGTGGTCAAATCTTCTCATTAACCAACCAAGAAGTTGTGAACAGAAGGACCATAATAAGTAGAACAGCTGGGATTCCTTCCACATGGATAATAATTCATCCAAAATGAAGGAGGCCATGGTATTTCTAGGAAAGAGTAATTTCATTGTATAAGTCTCCAAGAGAAAGCCCTCCCCTGCCTTAATAGGTAGCACTTGATGGCTACCCAAGGGCCAGTGGACCTCTGAATCATACCTGCCTAAAAAAGGCTCAAAGATGTTAGACAAATGACTATTTAGAAGCAATAACTTTTAACATTAACTGGAAGTAAGAACTCAATGTACGTAATAGCAAATTTGAGTTTGGTGAGTTCATAAACACATTTCTGTAGTTATTTGTAAATGTAAAGTCATATAGCAAAGTAAGAATCATCACCATGGTCAAGTTGGGCACAAGAGACAAAATGTTTCCAGAATGTCAACAGCAGAATGTAGAAGATATCTAATGCTGCCATCTTACAAATACTTCCTTGGAGGAAAGGCCTTATCAGTAAAACAAGATATCTTACTTGTTCCATTTGCTTATATTATAAATCCTTTGGCTCTCATAACAATCATAAAGCTAGAGCTACCTTTGTGGAAACAGATATAAACCCTTCAGATCAGTCATAATGATAAATTAACTTTCTGAAGAAAACATACATTATAATTTATTTTGCTTTATTTAAGTTAAAAAAAATCTAAGGAATTGTAATACCATTTAAATACACAGATTTACAAATAGGTCCAAAACAGGACTAAAATATTATTTGAATATTGTGCTTTCATAGATACATAAGAAAATTAGCATATAAAAATACTTTGTACAGGAATACACTCTA